TTTCGCTCTGATGGAGGTTTCCTCGGTGTTTTTTTCTTGCACAAAGCAAAACTTTGTGGGAATACATCCTGGTTTAAAGTTGACAAGCAAGGAACCCGGGATTTTCCTAAAACAGTCGGCTTCAAAGTGGTCGCCACATAGCCTCGAGTGCTTGTTCGCCGAATTTTTGCAAGCCATTTCGAAAGCAGTTCTTTGTCCTCCTGCGGTAAGCAAAGCCAGGACTTTTTGATTTTCATGTCTGAAGAGGTTGTACAGCCCTAGGCACTACACAATTGAGGCATTTCGAACAAAAAGTGAAAAAAAACAGACAAGGGGAATTGATTCTTTCTCTAAACACCAACAAAACACGCGAAGCAATCACCACCAAGCCTCGGTTTGACGCTACGAGAAATTTTTTTGACGTCATCGCGCATAAGTGCTATTATGTAATGAAATGAAATGATCCTATTGTCATCTTAAGTATAGGTATGTTATTGGATGGCTGAACAGTTTTAAATTGTGAATGGCTATGAAAAGAATTTACAAAAAACAATAAATTTCTGCAAGCAGAGTTCCCGGCTAAGCATTTTTCATCTTGGACATTCCTTATTTGTGCATGAACAAAAACTGCATCTAGCCTCAACTGTATCTAGACTCAATTGCATCTAGACTCAACTGCATGTATCAATTGAACGTAAATTCTCTTGATTTACTTCATCAGCTTATGAATATGTATCTTTTCGGATTAAAATTTTTTGGGTGAACTCTTTATCATGGTGGTTTATTTACATTGTCAACTCAATGAGAAAACCAAATATTATTATTACTGTTTATGATGTATGAGCAGTTACTTGTAATTGCTGCTTTCTTGTTTTTAAATTTGATTTTTTTAGATCCAGGATACTGTTCTGTTTTTCTCATCCTCAGACTTTTTCTTTTTGTTGTAGCATATCAACAGAAGGTACAGGATGGTATTCGCCGTCTAGAAGGTGACTGTTTTTTTTTAGGAATGAAACAAACAAGTATCCTAATTCTTCCTTTGGTGACATCAAATGAAAAACAGTGAGAGGTCACATACCTTAAAAAAACTGGACATTTTAATTACTGAATCTTGAACTGATTTTAGTTTAAGCTTAGGGACTCCTCAATGCTTTTATGTGATAGATATGAACAAAGTAATTTTCTCCCCTGATGCAGGAAAAATTGATGCCATGGCTAGAACGAACGAATCAGATAAAAGACCATGGCAGGAAAGTCAAACAGTGGAGAGTACGTTTTCCACAATTTGTACGTTGATTATTCCTACTTAGTCCCTCATAGAGGGAAGTCTAACAGTGTCATCAAGATGAGCACAAGACTCCTTATTTGGGAAATCATCTATCTGTATCTGAGCACAAGCATGATTTCTGAAGCAACTTGTCTCTTTCAGGTAGCCATAAACGGCGAAGGACTGAGGTCACTAAACCAGGCAAGGTAGACCATCCGAGAACCCATCTAAAAGAACCACAACCTGTAGATGAGTTTCATCGTGAAGTATAGTAAGTACATAACTGAAGGCTTTATTGAAAGAGGGTTTTTTTCGACAGTTGTACGCTAACATTCAGTAAGACAAGATGTGATAAAAATTCGTCACGAACATTTGCTACTGTTCGCTGCGTTTAGTCAAGTAAGCTCCTTACATTTGCTCTACTTCGCTGTCGGTCATGAAATGTAGGCAATTCAAAGCAGAACGGTGCGAATGAATTCTTCTGAAGCCTGTAAGGATAGATTTGTCTACGATGTCTTTGTAGTCAATGTTCATAGAAACGAGTACAACTCTGACAAAGTTGATCCCGTATTTTTGTTACCTAGCGACTGCTGATCTGGTTCCATTCGCAAGACTTCCGGTAGTCCAATTAGCTGGTTATAACCTTGGGGATGATGATGCTCAAGCAATCGCCAAAGTTCTGAAACAGAATAGACTGCTGAAAATTTTGGACTTGTCTGATAACTGCATTGGCGACTTAGGTGCTGTTGCTCTAGCAGCGAGTTTAAAGGGGAAAACATTTTTGGAAAAGGTGGATCTGTCCAGAAATAAGATATATGAACCTGGGATAGTCGCTCTTAGGCAGGCTTTTCAAGATATTAAAGGCCTTAACAATAAATCGATCAGTTTGGAGTATAATTACTTTGTCTGAAATGGTGATAATGCGCTGCCCGAGAATGTTAAAGGACACTCATCACAGAAAGGGTAGTGATCAATGACACATAGATTTTCAACCATTAACATGACAAATTGTAATTCGTCCAATTATAATCGATCTAGACGTGTGCATGGAAATTTCCATAGATCTTCCATGTTAAAAGACAGTTGAAATCTAGCACGAATTATCATTAAGTGCGTTTTAGACTTATTTAGGTGTTAAGAAAAAGGAATGGAAATATTATATTACTTTAAAACATTCGATGCAAAAAAATTGCAATAAGCAGGGTAATTATTATCTATTCCTTTTGGCGGTTTCATCTAAGTACAGTTTCTTTCACCTTTTTTTGTTGTGGTTGTGAATTTGACATGGAAGCAGATGTGCGGTTTCTACGATGATTAGAACTTGTAGTATATTTCGCGGTAAGCTATGTTTTTTTTTTAAATTATGTCAATCTGCTTGTTTAGGAAGAGAGTATGTCTCTCTGATAAGAATTAACCTCGTACAGGAATTCATGGAAATTCCTGCTTCTCATACTTTTGATCATTCTCAGACTCGTTTTTGGAACAAATTCTATGTCAAATTCACAATCAAGGAATACTTATAAAATCTCAATTGAACACCTTCAAACACCTCTTTCTTTAAGGTGACCCTAAGTGTAAACAGCTTCCGCCTTTTCATTTTCCGCACTGCATTTTGAATTAGATAATCTACGTAAGACCACGTAACATCTCTGGGGGCGATACTCGTGAACGCCCCTTCTTCTCTCAATTTTCTGTCTATTTTGTAATGTAACAATCTTTTAATGCAATTTTCTCTTAAGATATCTTTTGAAGTATAATTCTAATTCTGTCAATAGATTGATTATGATTTTTGTATCATCAATCTTGCTTCTGTTCTGGCCGATCTCAACCATAAAAGTGGGAAATTTAAGGCAGAAAATGATTTTGTTACTGCGTAAACAACTCGGAAGCGCATCCTTAGTATGCAGGCACTGTCGCACGCAACTTAACGTGATTCGCTGGTTGAGATAGGACGATGACGACGTACGAAGATTGACAGCTTAGTAGTGTCACCTTTGGCGTCACCTTTAAAACCTGGTGCAAATCATTGCTAGTCAGAACAGAATAAAGCTGAATTGTATTGATTTGAGTTAAAAAAAAAATAATAAAAGACCTGAGCTACTCCCAGGAAAAAGGAAAGTGTATTAGGAGTTCAAAGTCCAGAAATGAAGAAATACTAATCGGGTGTTACACATACATTAATTAGTGGACCACTACCCATGGGGCTTTTCAGGGCCATTCTTGCAACACTGTGCGGGGGACTTTACCAGACTGCTTGTAGCAGTTTACAACGAATCAGAGGAAGTTTAAGATGCCACCTCCCCCTAATTCCCGGTAAACAGGCCAGGCCACGTCACAGTAATCTCGTGAGTGGGTTCTTTAACCTCACCTGCCTAACCAAATTAACTACTTGATAGATGCAGGAGACGGGACCTACGGTTTATTCGTCCTTCTCCGAGAAGACTAGAATGTCTATCTATTGCTTGATGATGTAGAAAGGTAGCACAATCTCCTCAGTTGTTTTAAGACCTTGAGTGTTGGTCTGGCCGGGGCTCAAACCCTCCACCTCCCGCACAACAATCTGGCGCTCCAACCAAAACTTCAGACACCATTAACACGGCTGAATGTAAGATGTTCCGTAACGGTTATAATTGACCAGAAATGTGAATGGAAATTTCCAAAGATTTGCTTAAGTGACATGATATAATGTAATATGATTTTTTGAATCCTTTTGGTCTGTCATCTCTATGGAAATGTCGGCATATACATTTGTAAAAATAAGTTCGCAGCAAAATCGCTATGTTACGTGCAATATCCTCTTTGGTTTATCTAAAGCACGTGTACATAAATTTCTGTAAATAATTCTCAAAGGTTATCCTGTCTTTGTTGTAGAAGTTATTGGAATCAATTCAACTGTGGAGTGATTTTTATGAACTATTACACTTTTTTTCGTCAACATAGTCAAGTGTCGTGGTTAAAGTCATTCAGTGTAGAGCATATGCCACCGAACATGTATTGAAGGGGCAAAGAATCATCTCTGACTGTGGTTTTTACTAAATTTTCCTTACTTCGCGGATTGATCATTTTTTCATGGGGACATCTTTGTTAACAATTGTATTGTAGCTGTTGTAAAACGATGAAAACAGTTTGTTCACACAATTTGTTCCGTTTGTCATTATTTGATTCCATTGAACTTTAGATAGCTCGTCGTTAAAGCGATCAGCGGAGAATTTTGAATAGTCACGTTTATTCATATTTTTAACTTGTAAAAGTTTGTCTTTCGCTGACGTAGTGATACAGACCTGCGAAAAGTGATCACTAATATCAGAGAACGTTTCCGCTTACAAGAAGTTTGTCAGGTGTGTTAACAAAAATGTTATCAATCAACGTAGCGGAAGATCTATGAACGCGCGTCGGTTTGTCCACTGTTGGAACAAGATAACAGCTTCTAAGAGAGAGCAAAAAATCCAGGCTTCTTTGAGATGATTCATACTTGAGGAGATCAATATTGAAATCACCCATGATATAAATGTCCTTGTCATCAGACACCATTTTCTCTATTGTCCTATCTAAGTACATTAAGAAGTAATCGGGCGAATTGTGCTGGTGATGAATTATTCCACAAACAATATTTTTATGGTTGACAAAAGGGACTTTAACCCAGAGGGCTTGGAATGCCTCATTTGAAGTTTTTTTAAAAACAGTGTAGTTTAGTGATTGATCAATAGAAAGGCCAGCGCCTCCAGAGGCTAGAGGTGTTGGCACGTGCTCAAAGACATAACCAAGAATGCTCGGATGAGCGTTGTTTACATAAGAATTTGTAATTTTTGTTTCTGAGATACCAATAACGTCAAACTGGAAATCCAGTTCATCTAATAAAAATTCAAAATTTTCTAAATTGCGGCTCATACTCACAATATTGTTATGGAAGATGGAAAAACTAGACTTAAAGTGCACCTAAACCCCCAAATTGTTTTTTTCGCCTGACGAAATAAGCGTAGATTTTGGAGTATTTCTGTCCAAAATTTTTTTTATTTGCTCAAATCTTCAATTTTCTGTGCCCAGTCAAAATACGGAAAATCGACCGCCATCTTGCCCCACGACCGAGTTTAAAGAGAAATGGCTCTAGCGGGTAATGTGACGTCAAATCGAGAACACGAAAGTCTGCCTTTCACACATTTTCACTTGTTTGGGAAGGTTGTAGTCGATACTGTCCGAAAATATGCCGACTAAGTGTATTGTACAAGGATGTAGCAACGTGCGAAATTCGCAAGAGGGTATCGCGCTTCATACATTCCTCATACAACAAACCTAGTCGGCATATTTCGGAAAATATCGACGATAACCTTCCCAAACAAGTGAAAATGTTTGAAATGCAGACTTTCGTGTTCTCGATTTGACGTCACATTACCCGCTAGAGCCATTCCTCTTTAAACTCGGTCGTGGGGCAAGATGGCGGCCGATATTCCATATTTTGGCTGGGCACAGAAAATGAAAGATTTGAGCAAATTAAAAAATTTGTGCGCAGAAATACTCCAAAGAATAAGCTTATTTCGTTAAGCGAAAAAAAAGTTTTGGGTCTAGGTGCACTTTAACCGTGTTTTCAGAGATTTTTTCCTTGAATAGTTTAAAGCTGTGTGGCGAAAAGTATCGGCTTTGGATGCGCTGATTAGGAAAATTAAAACAGTATTCAAATAAGTATCCAAATTAGAGTTCAGGCTAAAAGTATCTAAGTCGTATAAACTGTTTAATTTAACTAGATTTTGCCTTGGGCACCAGTCAACAGAGATCAAGTTACTGAACTGTCCATGATAGAGAGCCAGGTTACCTGTAAAGTTAAAGTGAACTCTCACAATAATTTACTGGCCCTTTCTTCTTTTTTATTTCTATGGAACTTCATTGTTGCTTATTCCTAACGATCATATCATGTAGACAAGAGTACTTAGCTCAACTTTGCGAAGCCACTCCTTGGAGGTCTTCTAATCGACTCAGTTTTATTATGGTTGAGGTATCCTTCTTCCGTAAAGAAACGAATCCGTTCTTCGCCCAGCAGTATTTGTAACTATTCGCCTCCTTGAATTTTATACTCTCAAATAGAAGCTCTTGTAACCTTGGTGTAAGATGATCGTAAAGGTTGATGTGGCTTATATCTACCTCGCCATTTAAGCCCAAGTCATCTGCACTTAAGTCAGACACTCCTCTCCTTGCCGCCATGACTTTCTCTCTGGCTATTCTCCGCACGAATTTACAAATGATAGCGTTAGGTCTGTTGAAAGCCACGCGGGATGGCACCCGATGTGCAATGTCAATGTCTTTCAGTGATACATCATCGACTCTTAAAGCAGCGAAAAGCCTAATGCAAAGATCGGCTTTTTGTTGGGATGTTTCACGTTCGGCTACAGCTGGTACACCCGCGATTTTAATATTGAATTGTTAACTGTATGCTTCAGAGGCTTCGATGGATTTCCTGATACGATCGCATAGAACTGAAATTTCGTTAACTCTTGAAACGAGCTCTTGGATTTGTCTCTCAGCTTCATCTTTAAATCGCATAAAACTATCATACTGACTTGCCATGAATTCGACTGAATGCATTTTCGCTGGAGACAATTCCCGTTCGGCGTGTCGGCCATGTTGATTCTTAGAAAGATCGTCGGAAACTTTCTGTAGTTTGCTCTTTAAGTCTTGGATTTCATCGCGTAAAGCTTGGTTTTCCTTTCGTAGCTTCTCTTTAACCATCATACTGAATGGTCTTCAGAATATTGGGCTTAGGATATAAGAAGAAATTGTGAATTGAGTTCGGTGCACTCGAAAGCACGTCCGCACAGCTCATGCGGCCGCTCCTCGTTCAAAAAGCCTTTAACACCGTTGACCACGACATTTTACTCGATAAGCTCAATCACTATGGCTTTCGCGGAATAATTAATGATTGGTTCTCCTCATATCTCAAAAATCGCACCCAAACAACACAAGTAGGCCATCATATATCAGATAAAGCTGTTGCTGAATGTGGCGTTCCTCAGGGATCAATCCTTGGACCGTTACTCTTCTTGTTATATGTCAATGATATTCACAGATGCTCGAACAAATTTAGGTTCTACCAATTTTCAGACGACACTAACATACTGTATGCGGACAAAAATCTGAAAGATCTTGAGACAATAGTCAACATTGAGCTACAAAACCTTTATAACTGGTTGACAGCTAACAAACTAACTCTTAACATCAAGAAATCCAACTTTGTAATTTTTCATCCCTATCAAAAGCGACTTGCTTACCAACCAAAACTTTACACATTTGATAATGATAAGAATAAATATATTTGTCTCGAGTCTAAAGTCGACATAAAATACCTGGGCGTACTTATTGATCAGAGTCTTTCATGGAAATAACACATTGATTCCATTGTAACAAAAATTAGTAAGACTATCGGGTTAATTGCAAAGTTACGCCATTTTGTACTCCGACTTGTACTACTGAACATCTATAAGTCATTAATTCACTCTTATTTAACTTATAGTTTTGCTGCCTTGGGTCAGACATGCAAGACTTATCTTAACAAAATACTAATTCTTCAGAAAAGAGTGCTTCGCTTATTATACTTTGCCGAATGGCATGACCATGCAATTCCTCTTTTTTTTCGAAGCTAACGTGCTTCCAATAACTTTTCTTTACTATGAGTCCGTATCAACCTTAATGCACGATATCAATAATGGAAAAGCCCCAGCAAACATGTATAAATTTATTTCAGAAAGCGTCTAATATCCACTCATACAATACACGATCTTCTACGTCTGGAAAGTTTTATGTTAAATATTCTAGACTTGAAATACAAAACAATTCTTTTTCTCGGCTCGGAGTTAAACTGTGGAATGGGATACCAAGCTACATAACCAATCTCTCAAAGAAAGCTTTAAAAAAAAGATCTCCGCAAATTGTTGCTTGATATATTAGTAAAGGAAGATGAGTATATTGAAATCCCCATGATTATTAAAAAATGGAATATTTGCTCGCAAATATAGTTTTCATGTTTTTCACGGCTGGTGTACTTCCTGTTCCTCTTTAAGCGGTTATGTAATACATTAAAACATGACATGGCTACGTGACTGGTGGCTCAAGGTAGTTCATTTGACAGCATG